GGGGTCACCAGACGACGCAACGACGGTGGCAGACGACGATGCGGCGTCACCAGACGATGCGGCGATGCCGGCAGACGACGCGGCGATGGCGGCAGACGACGCGGCGTCACCAGACGATGCGGCGATGCCGGCAGACGACGGGGGCGTCACCAGACGATGAGGCGATTCCGGCAGACGACGTGGCGTCACCAGACGATGCGGCGATGCCGGCAGACGACAGTGGTGGACGCAGACTTTGATTAGCGCTCTGCTGCTGCGGCGGCAGCGAGATGTACATGAACGATGATGACAATGACGATCCTCTTCCACATCTATCGGCCACATCGAAAGAGGCGACCCTCGTACATTCTCGTGTTTCGATGAGATGAAAGGGAGGGAAAGATTTCTCCAGTTTGACATTTTAGCTGTCGGTGGTGGCAGCAGTGCCGGCGGCAGCGGCAGCGGCAGCTGTGGGAGCGTGCGTATGGCAGTGCGTAGCAGGGGGTCCGTTGTCGGAAACAAAATTAGTCTCAACACGCTCTCGATTTTCACTCTCGCTTAGAATGTCAACGGAAACGTCGTGAAGTGAACAAGAATGGGGGAAAAAAATCCCAGCTAATCTCCTCGTAGCTTTTGCGAAGACGAAACTCTATCGACGATCTACGCGGAAACGGGGAATGTGGAGACTGATTAACAGACGAGACGGATTTTTCGTTTCCTGGAAAAAAAACTGTGCGCCGGAATACGTCTGAAGTGACGCGCGAACGCGAGATTGTACAGGAGCTAAGCGATTAAATTTTTGTCAAAGTATGAAAATTGGCATGAGGGTAGTTTGTAAGATGTGTACATTCATATGAGATGCACAATTCGTCTGATGTTTGGCTCTTAGCTCCCGTACTGAGAGAGAAAACGTGAAGCTGCCGAGAAAGAGTGATTTACGTAGTTCGACGACCCCGATGCGTTCTCCCGCGACTTTCATCGTTCAAACCTTGCCATCGGCATTCTTCTCTCAGACGCGAAACTATTGACGTTTTTTTGCTGCGTTTCGTCGAAGCTGCCGATACAAGCCGGTGTATGCAAAAATAGCAGAGAGAGAGAGAGAGAGAGAGAGAGAGAGAGAGA